GAGAGTTTGTGTGTGTGCGAGCGGGATGCACGGAGGAGGCCGCGAGAGGAGAGAGAAGGAGGAATACATTTGGTAGGTGTTCTGTGAGAGGGATGAGTGTTGGTGATGGTGAGTGTGTGAGTTGTGATATTTTGAACAGGCTGTGGGAGGTAGAAGAAGAAAGAAAGCAGGACGTGAGGTCCGTGAGAGAGAGGAGAGTTCATGACAGTGTGATAGAGTGGGCTGTGAAAGAGGAGTTCGGCGTGTGTGAAGATATTCGAGGGGAGAGGCGCGATATGACCGTAGGGGGAGGTAGGTTAAAAAGGGAGGAGAGTGTAGATGTTAGAAATTGGAAAAATAAAGGAGAGGCCTGTAAGGCGTGGTTTAAGGTATAGGAGTAGGGGGTGTGTTGGTAGTTGTGTGGTGTGAGTGTGTGGGTTGGATATAGATTGGTATAGCTGCTGTAAATTTAAGGCTTGACGAGGGAACATTACTGACGTATGTGTGAAATGTTAGCGTGTGTCATATAGAGAGATGTGTGTAAGGTCGATATACCGGGTAAAGGAATCGGGGAGTCTCAAGATAACATGGTAAAGCGAGTACAGGATGGTGTGGTCCTTGAGTGGTAGCTTTGAGGGATGCCGATATCGATGTCGCTACCAAGAAATAATAGGTTGATCGCCGATAGTGGTGATGGTCGGGAGACCCCAACGGGCAAGGAGTTCGGTCGCCGATGTTGGTGACGTAAGATAATGATATCTGTGTGGGTGTGTGGCCTATTATGGGTCGAGAGGTAGAAGATTGAGTGTTGGCTGCCAATGTTAGTGATGAGTGAGAACATTTGTGCTCATGGATTGACTTCGGAAGGCGGTCACATTTGATATGCAACATAACTAACTTACCAGGATAAGTTGAGTTGGTGTAGTTCTAGAGTAGTGTTAAAGCAGGACTTAGGTTGTATAGATAGGGTACCTATGGGAATACTGAGTTTTCTGTTGTTGTATGTGCTATTGGTAACCATAACTAGAGTTTCGAGATAAGTTAAGGATGACTAGTTCTATGGTGATTCTAAGGTATGGCTTAGGTTATATAGATGAAACACATATAGATATACTGAATTTCTTGTTATTGTATATTATATTTGCAACTTGATTTTTAACCGTATTAAGTTATGTGAATTCACTTTTTATCATTAACAGATGGAGTAGGGATGGAGTCAAGATCTGAGTTGCTGGTTTCCGAGCCTAGTATATAATGCTACAGGACAAGGATTCTCTTTATGGGCGGATTATAGTGTGTAAAAATTTATATTAGTAGGGATAATACCTACTAGAGGTGTATGAGATTGTTTTATCCTGCGATGTATATGTAGAATTGCAAATTTATACCGAGTTTGAATAATGAAGTGTGGACAAGTTTTTTTTTGTGTGATTGATTTGGCATGAGACTTGCGTGTTGGGTCATGAAATTGTCTTAGATTGCGGCGTTAAAGGAAAAAAAACGGAACGTTACATATAGGGACAAATCTTAACATAAATCAAACTGTTTTGTATAGTTTAAATTATAATCTTATATTTAAAAAAACTTAAATAAATAAATTTAGTCTTAATACATATGAACTAGTTTTTGATTAAATATTTTATTTTTTATTTTAATAATATTTTATATTTAGAAAAATTAAATAGTTTATCTTAAATTAAAACTAAAAAAAGAGATTCAAAAGTTAAAATTAATATATATTAATCAAATCCAAGTTATATTATTTAAACTATAATTTTATATAAAAAATTAAACTATTATTATATAGTCAACGTAAGCTAAAGAATTACTATCTCTTATCATGTATGAAATTATAAAAATTTGAGATAGAAAACAATCATTCACATATTTTGTCAAATATTTAATAATATGAAAAATCGTCACATAATGAAATATATAAAAAAAAATCAAACAAAACTCAAATTAAAAAAAAAATTAAACTTTAATTATAAACTAAATACGCATATATAAATGTACTAAGAATATAAAAAGGCATAATGAGACAAGAATTTAATTTTCAATAACTATTGTTATAATTGCAATGTATCCCCTTTTTTTTTTTGTGATCAACTTTTTATATATTTTTTATTATGATAATTCCGTACGGAGTTTTCTTTAATTTAATCTTGATTTATTTTTATTATTATTGTATATTTTAAAAATACTGTTATTTGTAGTGTTTCGAATTTAAATTTAAAATAACTGCTGAAAATTAATAAAATTTTTTAGTATATTATTAATTGGTTGTGACTAAAAAAAAATCATATCATTACCAATAGACTTTCTATATCCAACTTGATTAAATGCATATTTTTCAACCTTCAAATTTTTTTGCTTTTTTTTTATTATTATTGATTACAAAAATTTGTCTAAGATTTTGAATCTTTTCACACCTAAAACATTTTTTTTTTGGTAAGGTTTTGCTCCAATGGCTAATTGTTTTCCACAATAATTATATGGCTTTCTAAACATTATTATTATTTTTATTATTTTTGAAATGATTACAAACTTTACTAAATTATATTTTAACCTCCTTCACAAGTTTCACTCTTGCTACTATTTTTAATAGTTTCAGGAGAATTGTCAAGTGACATAATAATCAACTTATTTCTCCATCATTTGGTTTTGGGTTAAAACATGAGAATCATTTTATTGGTTGTTTTCAAATGATAACTTGTAAAATGAATAAAAAGTTTATTATCATAAAAAAAAACATAATATTATATAATTGTATGATAAGAAGTGAAAATACTAAATTGATTTATGCATTACTTTAAAATGTTTTTAAGTTTAGTTTTTGGTTACTGTACTTTTAAAACTAGTATTATTAGTTTCAACAATTAATGCATATTAATAATATTAATAAAAGTATTATGCTTAGGATTTTGATTATGGAATTATAAATATTAAAGACCACTTGATTTTTAACATGTAAATTTTTTTAAGAAATTAAAATTCAAACATATTTTTTAAAAAAGAAAAAAGCTTCCACCACCCTAGACCTTTGACCACCTCAGAAACCCATGTTTGCTTGCTCTTTTCTCCACCAACTCACACTCTCCAGTGAGGCCGACGAGCATACTGGTGGTGGGTGCCACGATTCACAATAGCAACAACCCAGATTTGGATCCGAATTTAGACCAGTTCAGATACTATGGGTTACGAGTTCGCTCGGTTTGGAGCAGGGTGCTTCTGGGGGGTTAGAGCTGACATTTCAGCGATTTGCGGCTGTGGTGAAGATGGCGGTGGCACCCCAGTTATGGAGGAAGTCAGCGAGCGGAGTCTGGGTCGGACGAGGCATCGCACGTTGTACCCTTCATCATGAGTTTGCCGCATGATCTGTCGGCCAAGAGTGCCGGTGGCACTCACCCACCAGTATGCTCGTCAGCCCTCATTGGAGAGGGTGAGTTGGTGGAGAAGAGAGTGAGTCAACATGGGTTTTGAGGAAGTCAAAGGTCTGAGCAGAAAGAGTTTTTCTCCCCTTAATTTTACGTTTTATTTTTTAATTTTTTATTCAAAGTAAAGTTATTTTTACACGTTAAATAATACTCTAGCCAAAATGTGATACATATTTAATCCAAATTCATATAATATTTCTACTAATGGTGTTATTATGCATTAATAATAGGAGATTAATATAAATATTTTTAAAGTACATAAATTAAAATTATAAAAAATTAAATGAACTCAGTTTCTTCAGTC